AGTTCTGAAGAAGATATATTGAGCTAATTACATTACTGCTAGAGTGTTGATTGCAGGGAACAGATGAATTCTTCCAGGTTAGGGTGTGCGACACAGATAAATTTTGAAAACCAATTTTTGTTGACCAATTTTTTTTTAATGACAATACTGAACGCAAAACTGGACAGCATTTTTTTTTTAAAAATTCAGTCACAATTCAAGTGTGTGAAAAGGCTGACATTCAAGGGAAACAGATGCTGACTGCCATATTGTTAGTAACATTTGCATGCATATATCACACTATGCATGCAGGGCAAATTATTCATAATAGCACAACAGGCTTATGCTGCTCACAGTGATGAAAGCTACACATACAACAATGCTGTGCATTGCAGTTATGCATTGTGGTTGCACATTACTATTGTGCATTGTACATCACCCAGTCATTTGTATATGTTACTTCTCTTGGGTGATTCCTAACTTTTAAACAGTATATATGATGTGGAAAATTAAAGCTCCACTGCTCCTGTATGTACGCAGATGTTAGAAGCTCATAGCAGTACAATTCTGTCCCAAGCCTGACCTTCTTTGTAATCATTCCAGGACCTTTCTATCTGAACAGGTTAGAGCTCTTCATAATATTTATTTTATGTATTTAAAATGAATTGTAAATCCAATTTCATATTTGTTCTTTAATCTTCTGAGTGGGATGGGTTATACAGTAAAAATAATGCAAATGAAAGAAAAGTATGGGAAGAACTTGCTATAACCCAGAATGAAGTTGCAAACAATCAAAGGGAGTTAGGGAACTTGTAATATTCTTATCTGAATACATGATTCAAAATTTAGCCATGATTTTGAGAATCTAAACAACATATAAGTTAGGGTTTAAACTTGGATGTAAATCCTGGTTTTATTCCAGAATTGTAATACTTATATAAAGGTAAAAAGGTAAAGGTTTTCCCTCAAAAAGGTTGTCTGAGTGTAGGGTGTTGTGCTCATCTCTATTACTAAATGATAATCTACATTTAACATAAATCTATTTACTGTAATTACTTAACATAGTATTGCTAGCTCATGCAAAATGTGAAAAAATATTTACTTTAAAACTGACAAAAGCCAAATTCTTGAAGTTATAGCTCGAATGGGATGTGCAAAATGAATTAATTTATCATGCAGAAATAGCTGAGAATTTGAATAGCTTCTAAAATAAGGAAAAAACATAGGATTTATTTTCTAAATTTTGGAACCATAAGTACTAATAACAAATAATCAAATTAACTAGGTTCATCTACAACAGACCAGACCTCTCTTAAGCAGTTCCAAAATGCCTAAAATACAAAAGGAATACAAAAGGAAGCAGGTAAAGCCCCATACATACTCATCCAGGGATAAATGAGGCCCATATAGTTTCTTTCATTCAGAGCTGCATACCAGGGGTCTAGCCTGTAGAACCACAGATAGAGGTCTATGTGTGTATTCAAATATATCACCATTTTCCCTAGAGGAAGTGTAGACTGGTTTTACTGAACACAGTTCAGAAAGTGAACTATCTGAGGTTAGCAGTTCCTCGTACCTGAAAGCCACAATACACACTAACACACAAGGACAATCTCCAGAACTGGAAACCCTATTTTTCATTATTGCGCTTTGAATCTACCAAGCCTACCACTTGAGGAGGCAGATTCTTCAGAAAAAAGACAGGCTCTTTCCATGAAATATTAGACCTTTCCAGAGTTATGGGAAACACCAGCGTATGAAGCTGCCATGTTGTACATTTTAGAATTAAAATCCTTCCTTTGAACCTCCATTTCAAAAAGGTCACTAGGCGTCCACCCTCCCCACAAAAACATTCTTCTAGCATCATTTTCGACCGAAGTGTAAAGCAACCTGGTTGGCTTCCATGCAGGCGATGGCCTCTTCCAAGAGGGAAAACTCCACGCAGATATAGCCATAGTTGTAACCTGGGGACAGCATTTAAATACAGACGGGATTTGCGTTAGTGCCAGAAAGCCATATTTTCAGTACTCAATTCCCCTTCAGCATACACCCAGCTACCACCACCCTATGCTTCCCACAAAACAAGATAAAAGCAAGTTCTTTAAAACTAGCCTCAAAATGAAGCTTTGGTTTGATGATACCTGACCACAAACTCATAGTCCTGTTGAGTTCATATGAATCTATACAATACATTGCGTAATTTGTTTTTCCGTCAAAAAAGACCCATAATGTGATGGTTCCATTCTCACTGAATTAAAGAAATGTTGATCATTACAGGGCACAACTTACTGAAGAAGCATATTATCTGTTTCATAAATCTATATCTGAAGTCTTCTCCCAAGAGAAATATTTTTAAAATAGAGAATCAAGAAACAGAAGGACTTTCTTAGCTTATATTCATTTTTCAGCAGTAGTTAGAATAGCATTAAATTCTAGAAATCCCTTTCATTCCAAGGATATACCATTTAAAAATCAACCCTATTCCTTCTGATGCATAAATGTAGCTAATACAATTCAAAGACACATATAAATATTTAAAGGAGAATTATAAAATGGTATTAGTCCTTTCCTTAAAAGCAGTCCAGATTAAAGGACAATCACAAAAAGTCATCTGTAATATATTTTCCCTGAAGAAATCATTTGTCATCCATACTGTGCAAAAATCAACTTTGCTTCTGATTAAAACCATTTCAAGAAGCAATGCATCCATCTGCCTAAAATTTAGGTCAGAGGGGCACATATAAACATCCCTACCTCAAAATTATCAAAAATTCATAAGCATCTAAATTAAAAACAAGGTTTACTCAGAAGAAGATATGCCAGTTTAAGCAAGGAGTAGTACAGATGGCTTTCACAACAATTCTACAGTACTAAATAGGAACTGTCCCTGATGTGAATATTTATAAAATAAATAACCAAAATAAACCAGCACACATGTGTATATTTATAAAATAAACAACGAAATAGCTAGGAACTTTAAGTTACAAGTGTATATCTCATCATCCATCTATCTACAACAAGAGGTAACTCTTAGCCACAGAAAACCCCATGATAGGGTCGCCTCAGGGTCGCCATAAGTCAAAAAGGAGTTGAAGGCACAAAATAAGAACAAAACTGCCTTCATATGACAATAAAACACTGCAATTACAGGAATATGATGTCTATGTATCTAGTATATCAGACCAGAAGACATTCAAAAACAACCTTCTCTCTCTCTCTCTCTCTCTCTCTCTCTCTCTCTCTCTATATATATATATATATATATATATATAATGAGTATACTGGGTGGTCATCAAATAGTAGATCCTTGTGTGTACATCTCAACTTTAGATTAGTGGCTCCTGAAGGAAATGTAAAATGTAATGGCAAGCTATTATGAGATGCAACTACTTATTCATAAGGGAAATGGCACTAAAGTAACATTTTCAGTATTTCCAAGCTGACATTCAGCAAGTAGTGTAGGAATTGCTAGTGCTTTCATTCCTCAGAAATAACTGGAATATCCATGTTGAAAACTATATTTAACTGGAGAATGAGCTGCTCATTTGATTGTAATCAATTTGTGTAGACAAAGCTACCAACCATCTACAAATCAGACCATGTATACTGTGAGTCCCCCTTCCTCCTGCTGAAAAAAGTTTTTTTTTTTTCAAGAATCAGACCCTTCTCACTGAGCCTCCCCATTCCACAGCTGCATAGGTAATCTGGAAACTAGCACTGGACAAGCACTGGCCAGATTCAGAAATACAGGTTGAATATCCCTTATCCAAAATGCTTGGGGCCAGATGTGTTTTGGATGGTGGGGGGCTGGGATTTTGTAATATTTGCATATACATAATGAGGTATCTTGGAGTTGGGACCCAAGTCTAAACACAAAAATCATGTGTTTCATATACACCTTATACACATAGCCTGAAGGTAATTTTATGCAATATTTTAAACAAATTTGTGTATGAACCAAAGTTGTGTACAATGAAGCATCAGAAAGCAAAATATCACAATCTCAGCCACTCATATATATGCCTTTACATTTTGGAGTATTTTGAATTTCAGTTAAAGGATACTCAACCTGTACCAGTATTATGTTTGTGCCATACTTTTAGAACAAAGCAAGGAAGCAAAGACTAAATTCTAATGAAATGGACATGCATTGTGTAATTAATTGTGAATTAAACTCTATTGCTCAAAGATGATAAAATGCTGCTAGATGGGAGATGAGTCTTTCTCCTGTTTTTATTCTTGCTGACTCCTTGTTGTATTGTTTATTTATTGTATTGTTGTTTTTAACTCTTTCTTGGTTTAATTTTGTTTTAAGGGGATGGGAGGGTTGGGTTGTGGGATGAGGGAATGTTTTAATTCTGATTGTTTTAAATGCTGTAACCCGCCCTGATTGCCGCAAAGAGGGGCAGGCTATAAATAAAAAAATTATTTATTATTTATTTATAAGACACCTGGGATGCATTATGTCCAAAAGAAAGAAAAAGCAAACTTGATACAGAAACATAAAGTTATGGTGTAGAGAAAGTTTTTTTCTTCTTCCTCTCATAATGACTTAACCCATGGTCAATCAATGAGGCTCAGCAATAAAAGTAGGAATAAAATTAAGTACCTTTTCTTGCAGCTCATAATTAAACTATGGAACTCACTGCCACAAAAAATATGATGGTCATTAACTTAAGTTAGCTTTAACAGGGGAAATAACAAATGCATGCTGGATAAACCTAGAGCGGCAACTGTTCATGATCTCTTTATACCACCTCCAATATCAGCAGCAACTGTACGCAATCCCTTTATACCACCTCCAATATCAGAAGCAACCTATCTCCAGATACCAGCTGCGGAGAAAACAAAAACAAAAAATGACTCTGTGTGTCTGTGTGTGTGTTGTGCGCCTTCAAGTTGTTTCTGACATATGGCGACCCTATCATGGGGTTTTCCTGGCAAGATTTGTTCAGAGATTTACCATTGCCTTCCTGAGGCTGAGAGAATGTGACTTGCCCATGGTCACCCAGTGGGTTTCATGGCTGAGCTAAGAATCAAACCCTGGCCTCCAGAATCGTAGTCCAACACTCAAACCACTACGCCACGCTACCTCATCCTAAAAGTAGGTCAGCCTGGAGGGAAGTAGGTTTGTTGTGACAGCAGCAAAGCCCCTGCAAAAATACTCTGTGACAAACCTATGTATGTATAATCAATGCATGTATAGCTTTCTGTGTATACCGTATTTTCCGGTGTATAAGACAACCCGGCGTATAAGACGACCCCCAAATTTTCCAGTCAAAATATAGAGTTTTAGCACCTCTATCTTCCTTATCCTTATACCCGGCGTATAAGACGACCCCCCCCCACTTTAACCACAGATTTTGCAGGTTAAAAAGTAGTCTTATACGCAGGAAAATAAGGTACATACTGTGTCAGTTCTTCATACATGTGTGTGTTTCTTCAAGTCACCAATACTAATAATGTCGGTAAGCACTTTTTGAGGCACTGAATACTTCAAACTACACTTGTCTGTGTTAAAACATTTCAGCTAACCCCCATCTAACTCATTTTAGTTGTTAGTAAACTTTCCCTTTTCTTCAGATAGCCTGATGACTGCCTAGTTTAGTCATAAAATTGTTGCATGCAGAACTGGGTTGTTTCAAGGTCAGCTGATTGATGACCTCAGTGGTCATCATATGTATGAGAGATTGAACATTTGCAGTGTTTTGTAAATACTATAGCTAATGAGTTTATCACATGTCATTTAATGTGACTTACCGCAGTCACATTAAATTCTGAAGCCTGATCTTATCGCATGCACCAGGAGCTAGGTGAGTGCAACCCGGCTGCATCCCGGCCCTCAGCCATGCTTAACCAGCATCTTTTCAAAACTGGGAAGCAGCTGGGTTGCACTCACCTGGCTCCTGGTACATGCACTGAAGATCCGGCTTCAAAATTTAATGCAGCTGAGGTAAGTTGCACTAAATGACGTGTGATAAACTCCTAAGTCTACCATATACCAAGAAATCTATGATTTTGGTGGCATCTTTCCTTGCAAAGTGGCAAACGGGTATCTCTAGGGTCACTCTAAACACAAACTCTGAGTTAAGGCTGAAGAAAGCAAGTTAAATCATTATTTCACTGTCCACACCCAGACATGTTGAAATATATTGGACTGTGGCAAGAATAAGTTTGGACTCTCATGCTCCTCAGTTCATTCAGATGTCATGAGATGTTAAAGAGTGCTTGCTTTCACTTTGAATCAACCTTAGTTTACCATTTATTCCAAACCCTAAATCATGCTTAATGTTAACTATATTTTTAAGCTACGGTTTTAAAAAAAACATGCCAGATTCATAACCCATAGTTTGATTCAAACACCCTCCCCATTTCAAAATAATCCTGCTTTGTCTGGCTTGCATCACACAACAAGCTGCAGTTAATCTGAACTGGAAATGAAAGCTGCCCAATTGCTCCCTGTGATCATGCCAAAGGCAGCTAGGCAAGAGAAAGAGCACTCATGTCTGAAGCCTGTTGCAGCTCTTTATTATGATACATAAAGTATGATTTAGCACAGGAGTAGGCAACCTTTTTGAGCTGGGGGCCGAGCTGCTGTCCCTCAGACAATTGGTGGGCCGAAGCACCATAAAATAAATAAATAAATAAATATTTTTCTTTTAAAAAAATTGAAAATTAAAAATATATGCATGCACACTCTCTCAGCCCCAGAAAAGCCATGGCAAAACCCCTGTGGAGATTTTGCCAAGAAAACCCCAAGAACAAGTAATAACAACAATAATCAATATCATCATGGCAGAGGAGGTGGCGGCAGCGGCAATACCGGCCTGGGGCCGGTCCAAAGGCCTCGGGGGGCCGCATCCGGCCCCCCGAGGCCTTAAGTTGCCTACCCCTGATTTAGTATGATATCCATACGTGCCCTGTACATGGGAAAACCTAAAAAAGGTAAGCATAACAAGGCATGGTTAGCACTGCCGTAGTTAAGCATTATATTTGCAGAAAAGCTGCATATAAACAAATCAACTTGGACCTGCAGTGAAATGCAGCAGTGTATCCTTCTCCTTAAGAGAATCAAGAACAGAGTATAAATGAATATCATACTCAGGCCTTCAAGCAAGATGTGATCCCAGAATGTGAAAATAGTGCTTTCTGTCATGCAATCTATCTGTAATATTAGTGGAATGTGGTTAAAGTAAGAAGAGGATTGGACAAATCCAACTGGATTGGACAAAAAGCCTATTACTCCAGTTTCCTGCAGGGGCCTACTGGATTGTTCACCCCTCATTTGCAGAGCAGGGATGGGAATCATGCCAGATATGCCCACCAGATATTGCTTGACTGCAGCTCCTAGATTTCCTTGCCATTAGTTAGGCTAACTAGAGCTGCTTGGATTTGCTGTTCAACAGCATGAAGAAGGATGCATAATTTCCACCCCCAGCATATAGGCACAGTGCACAAGAAGAATATGAAAGCCAGCATGGTGTAATTGTTTGAGTACTGGACTATGACTCTGGAGACCAGGGTTCGATTCCCAGCTCAGTCATGAAACCCACTGGGTGACCTTGGGAAGTCACATGCTCTCAGCCTCGGGGGAAAACAATGGCAAACCTCCTCTGAACAAATCTTGCCAAGAAAACCCCATCTTTCTGTTCTGCACGTATTGCGTCTGCGGAGTCTCGCCCGGCAGAGCTGTTTAGGGTGGTGGTGGGGAGTTGACGAAGGTTCCCCCTGTGCTGAACCCCCCTACTTAACCCAACGACAGCCTGCTGTGAGGCATTTAACAT